CAATAAAAAACAATTTGGACTCTGAGACCTGTGGTGTGCTGGCAAATATCTACACTTTGTCATGCATGATCCAGTATCCAGCTGCTGGTTTCTGCAGCACCCAGCTTCCTAGAGCCTTTTCCAGGAGCATGTGCAATGGGAATGGATAGTTACAAATGGCTGTGGTGTCAGTTTGCAGGATTTGTCTGGTCGGCAGTTAGGATTCAGGCCACTTGACTGACCTGGCTACAATGACTTCACTTCCATGCAGGCATATGGGAATCATATCGTAATATCGTAATACACAGAGTGGTACTTGTGACAGAAGAGATCAATAGGGTCTCCTCTGTCATAAAAATCCTACCTGTAATCAGTTTAATTCCACTTTAGGGCCTCACGCACACTAGTTTTATAGGCATTTGACTTTTTTTTCCTTTCTACTCTAAATGGCCCACCATATTAGCCTTTGGGGTTGATTTACTAAAGGCAGATAGACTGTGCACTTTGCAAAGTGTGGGTGCACTCCACAAGTGCAATTGCTCCAGTGTTTAGTAAATGAGCAGAAGCTCTGCTTATTTCCATCATCCAATCATGTGCCAGCAAAATTGTTCTTTTTTTTTAATTTTCCATGCACGTGAATGGGTATTCTTTACATAATGAAGCTTTACCTCATTTACTAAGCTCTGGAGCAAACTGCACTGCCCCTTGTGTCCATGCACACATAGGCTTTTACACATAGTTTTACAGTTAGTTTAGAAGCAGAAAAAAAACATCACTTGCACATTCAGAAGAGGAGTGTTTGGGCAGAATAAAAACATGCAATTGCACATAAACGTGTGTTAACGCAAGGTGCGATGAGGCACGTTCACGCCTTAATGCATTCTAATGGCCAGAATAAATTAATATTCTGGCCAAAAGAATGCATTTATTTTATAAAGATACTTATATAGCACTGTCAATTTACACAGCATGTTACATATATATATATATTGTACATTCACATCAGTCCCTAACCCTCAAGGTGTACAATCTAAAGTAACTAACAATAAAGGTCAGAGGCTCCAACAATAATTAGTGTCGCCAATTTAGACAGTAATTTGTCCAATAACCAAAAAAGCCAACAAAGAAAAAAATGTGAATAGAGAGTTCACAAAGAAAAGCGGTTACATAAAGGACAAGCGATACTTGAATAATATTGGTTACCTTCAGGACAGTGTCCTTTTTGTTGGCTAACGACATATTAGTACAGGAATATTTGTATGTTCATTTCTTTAATTTTTTGATTATTCTGTGCTATATGGTAATTCCAGTCCAGCTCCGCTGGCCATTAAGAAGGGCTTATGTCCATTATATTGACGTTATGTATATACAATTCTGATGATTGATATATAGCCAGTTTGCATTTTTGAATGTCCATTACATGGCACGGTGGTGCACCCAGCTGTGCCTCTGCTGCTGATGCAAAAGACTATAAAGATCAATAGTAAAAGTGAGCGCTATCCAAACAGCTGCTGTGCACTCAAGGTAACCAACATAAGCCTTATATAACAGGAAGAGTAAATAGTGCAACGCTAAGAATTCACCATAGATATGTAAAAATTATAATTCAATATGACCAGTCTGTGCGGTTGTAAAGTGCCAAATAACTGGTAGACTCAATGGTGGTGCTCCGTGAATGATAGCTGAATTGCGCACTCACCGGAAGTATAATAATAATACGCGTTATTTTTTTATATCCAGAAGTATCCTCATCAGGTATAGGTCTGGTCAGGTTTGGTAATTCTCCCTCAGAGTAGTAATCATCAGGTGCCCGGAAGCCAGGATTAATCGGATCCAGGTAGCCAGATGTCCCTATTTAGGGGATGGATAGAGCTGTCTGCTGACAGGAATTTATTTCCAAATTATGGTGGAAAATAAGTTTTTGGTTACCTACAAACAAGCAAAATTTCTGGCTCTCACAGACCTGTACCTTCTTCTTTAAGAGGCTCCTCTGTCCTGCACTCATTACCTGTATCAATGGCACCTGTTTGAACTTGTTATCAGTATAAAAGACACCTGTCCACAACCTCAAACAGTCACACTCCAAACTCCACTATGGTGAAGACCAAAGAGCTGTCAAAGGACACCAGAAACAAAATTGTAGACCTGCACCAGGCTGGGAAGACTGAATCTGCAATAGGCAAGCAGCTTGGTGTGAACAAATCAACTGTGGGAGCAATAATTAGAAAATGGAAGACATACAAGACCACTGATAATCTCCCTCGATCTGGGTCTCCACGCAAGATATCAACCCGTGGGGTCAAAATGAAGTGAGCAAAAATCCCAGGACCACACGGTGGGACCTAGTGAATGACCTGCAGAGAGCTGGGACCAACGTAACAAAGGCTACCATCAGTAACACACTACGCCGCCAGGGACTCAGATCGTGCAGTGCCAGACGTGTCCCCCTGCTTAAGCCAGTACATGTCCGGGCCCGTCTGAAGTTTGCTAGAGAGCATTTGGATGATCCAGAGGAGGATTGGGAGAATGTCATATGGTCAGATGAAACCAAAATAGAACTGTTTGGTAGAAACACAACTCGTCGTGTTTGGAGGAGAGAGAATGCTGAGTTGCATCCAAAGAACACCATACCTACTGTGAAGCATGGGGGTGGCAACATCATGCTTTGGGGCTGTTTCTCCGCAAAGGGACCAGGACGACTGATCCATGTACAGGACAGAATGAATGGGGCCATGTATCGTGAGATTTTGAGTGCAAACCTCCTTCCATCAGCAAGGGCATTGAAGATGAAACATGGCTGGGTCTTCCAACATGACAATGATCCCAAACATACCGCCCAGGCAACAAAGGAGTGGCTTCGTAAGAAGCATTTCAAGGTCCTGGAGTAGCCTAGCCAGTCTCCAGATCTCAACCCCATAGAAAACCTTTGGAGGGAGTTGAAAGTCCATGTCGCCCAGCGACATCCCCAAAACATCACTGCTCTAAAGGAGATCTGCATGGAGGAAATGGGCCAACATACCAGCAACAGTGTGTGCCAACCTTGTGAAGACTTACAGGAAACGTTTGACCTCTGTCATTGCCAACAAAGGATATATAACAAAGTATTGAGATGAGCTTTTGATATTGACCAAATACTTATTTTCCACCATAATTTGCAAATAAATTCTTTCCAAATCAGCCAATGTGATTGTCTGGATTTTTTTCTCATTTTGTCTCTCATAGTTGAGGTCTACCTATGATGCCAATTACAGGACCTCGCTCATCTTTTTAAGTGGGAAAACTTGCAGAATTGGTGGCTGACTAAATACTTTTTTGCCCCACTGTATGTTCCATTGCTGAGCTCTGGTTCAGAAGCCTGGTGGGGATAGACAGGGGACATGTCTAAACATCTAACTACTGAGATATAGGCATGCTGTGCATAGGCACAGCATGCCTGTATCTCTATCAGGGAAAGGGTTAGAGACAAACTAACAATGCTAGTGTGGATCTGCTTTCATTAAATGGATCTGCTGTATGTTGAACTAGCTCAGGCATCTGTGTGTACTGGAAGGGGCTTTAATCACAGTTATGTAGCACTGCAACCAAGATGTGGCCCCCAGCCAGAGAATGCCTGAAGAGGTCCTGGCAACCTAGTCAGGAGTGGTAATAGGGACAGGACAAAGTATGCCCACCCTGGGGAAGGTACTGACAACTGCTTCCAAAATTATGAGAACTAGCCTAATCAACCGTCCCTGAAGTAAGGCATAGAAAACTGATTGGGCTTATTGTTACTGGTGGCCTGCTCCTAGAACTGATGCTTGGTGTGGCTAGGAAGAATGCAGGGAAGAGTCATGGTATGGTAATGTACATGTGGTGGTGATTGTACACTTTAATTGCTCCCTCTGGCCCATTCACACATGAGCATTTTTTTTATCTCAAAGCTCCAAAATGCTCAGGGAGGAAAAATCAATTATTCTCTATATTGATGATTCACATCTCTACTCCAAGACGCCTGAAGCTCAAAAATGTTTTGGAGCTACTTTTGTAGCTTGATTCAGGCATATTGGTGCATTATTGAAGCAGCTGAAAGCAGAAACACATAGTAACAAATGATATAACAGAAGATCATTTTTTCTGTGGCTAATACAAAAATATCAAAGCTCCAAAATGCTTGGAAAACACTGTACAAAACACTCAAAAAGATGTATACAAACATGCAACAAAACGATAGAAACAACATGCAAAAATGCAATGCTCAGGTTGGAATGCAGAATTAGGGAGTGGGGACTTATGTTACCACAGAAACTAAGGTGAGAGGCCCGTTAGTGGTACCCGGAGTGAAACGTTATGTGAGTGTTTTCTTGGCTCCTGTCTACACATATGTCTGTGTAATTGTGCTAAGGGGAGAAGCTACTCAGAGAACAGAGGCTCATGGCACCAGTTAAATACGTCTCTGCAAATTGCTGTAATGAAATGTGGTGCTGTTATATAAATGAGTGGAATAAAATCTTCAAATTGGAGAATAGATATGGGGAATGGACTCCTCTGTAGAACATCAGTATAAATATGTGCCTTCTAGAGGGATTGCCAAAAATATGTAACTATGAAGGTAAAAATAGACTTGGATATGCACTATAGATAAACGTCAGAGGTATGTATAAGTTCTGTGTGTAATACATTTGGCTTACTGGAAATGAAAAATAATTTGGTAATATCCTGTCTCACATGCTTGTCATAGTTACCACACACAGATGCTCTGCAGGCATGACGGCAATGTTTATGTAGGATTTGGCCTGCCTGATCTGAAACCATTTTCGTTTAGCAAAATCATGAACAAATGAAAGCCAGAAAGCGTATAACAAGAACTGATGGATGCATGGGGCTATTGTGCTCTTTAAAGAAGCAATTAATTAATTTACCTAAATGATATTCTTTGGTTACTACACTATATTGCCAAAAGTATTGACACCCCTCCAAATTATTGGATTGAGGTGTTCTAATCATGTCCATGGCAACAGGTGTATAAAATCAAGCACCTAGGCATGCACACTGCTTCTACAAGCATTTGTGAAATAATGAGTCCCTTTCAGAAACTCAGTGAATTCAAGTGTGGTACTGTGATAGGTTGCCACCTGTGCAATAAGTCTGTCAGTGAAATATCCTTGCTACTAAATATTCCACGGTCAATTGTTAGTGGTATTATAACAAAGTGGAAGCAACTGGGAACAACAACAACTCAACCATGAAGTGGTAGGCCACGTAAAATGACAGAGCGGGGTCAGTGCATGCTGAAGCGCACATTGCGCAGAAGTCGCCAACTGTCTGCAGAGTCAGTAGCTAAAGACCTCCAAAGTTCATGTGGCCTTCAGATGAGCACAACAACAGTGCGTAGAGAGCTTCATGGACTAGGTTTCCCATGGCCGAGCAGCTGCATTCAAGCTTTACATTACCAAGTGCAATGCAAAGCATCGGATACAGTGGTGTAAAGCACGCCGCCACTGGACTATATAGCAGTGGTGACATGTTCACTGGAGTGATGAATCACGCTTCTCTGTCTGGCAATCTGATGGACATGTCTGGGTTTGGCAGTTGCCAGGAGAACGGTACTTGCCTGAGTGCATTGTGCCAAGTGTAAAGTTTGGTGGAGGGGGGATTATGCTGTGGGGTTGTTTTTTAGGGGTTGGGCTTTGCCCCCCTAGTTCCAATGAAGGTAACTCTTAAGGCATCAGCATACCAAGACATTTTGGACAATTTCATGCTCCCAACTTTGTGGGAACAAACTGGGGATGGCCCCAACCTGTTCCAACATGACTGCGCACCAGTTCAAAAATCAAGGTCCATAAAGACATGGATGAGCGAGTTTGGGGTGGTGGAACTTGACTGGCCTGCACAGAGTCCTAACCTCAACCTGATGGAACACCTTTGGAATGAATCAGAGCAGAGACTGTGAGCTAGGCCTTCTCGTCCGACATCAGTGCCTAAGCTCACAAATGCGCTTCTGGAAGAATGGTCAAACATTCCCATAGACACATAACTAAACCTTGTAGACATCCTTCCCAGAAGAGTTGAAGCTGTTATAGCTGCAAAGGGTGGGCCACCTTAATCTTGAACCCTATGGACTAAGACTGGGATGGCATTAAAGTTCATGTGCGTGTAAAGGCAGGCATCCCAATACTGTTGGCAATATAGTGTATGTTTTAATGGCTGATTGACTACCACATTACAGTGTGGAATTTCCCTGAACACTGTACATTCCCCACCAATGTCCCCAAAAATTGTTAGAAACCAATATATGCCTGGACCTTCTTACAACATACAAAAAACAGTGTTTAATGCCTTCTTCACACCATATGCACAGAAAAACAGATGGAAAAAACATGCAGATTTCACTGCAGAGACACAAGTTTACATCAGTTTTCATACGCATTTCAGTGAGTTTTATACAGATTGCAGATTCCTGTGCAGAAAAAATGCATACACTAGTGTTGTGGTGTGAACTGGACACATAGAGAACAATTGTTTTCTTTGTGCCCTTGCAGAACACGCAGGAAAACTCATGTCTCTGCACATTGGTGCGTACAAGGCCTTAAGTTTTACTCAACATTTTTAAAGAATACCAGAGACAACTGGGTTGCTTCAAGAAATTGTATATTTATCCTAAAATTATCATTTAGATGGCTTGCAAAATAATAGTTATTAGTTAAGACAAATGTAAGCATCTGCAAGGTTGTTATTTGGTAGGGTTATGCACACTCCAGAGCTGAGAGATGGCATGTAGTAGCATCAAAGGTCAGTCTTTTGACAGCACAGCAACTGTCAGATTTTAAGGACCTCCCAGTTCTCTCTTTCAGAGGACTATCCTTAAAGTAGAACTAAAGGCAAGACTTTTTTTTTTTCATTTTGGATAGAGTAAAGGGGGGGGGGGGGTTATAACCCCTGTCAGGGTTTGTGTTATCTGTGTCCTATTGGGAATCCCTCCAAATTAAGTGGTTATCACCAGAGTCCAAGAAGTGGAGTCCCCATTGAAAGACCTCCCCCCTCTATTTCTGTTCTGGTGACAAACAGAGAGGGTGAATCTCCTAACAGGAATACAACTCTCTCTTTATCCAAAACCAAAAAATGCCTTTTGTAATACTTTTACGAAAGCTAAATTAACAACAAATATAAACCCGTAGGGTTTGCTTACTCTTGCATTGCTCTCTGACAAGTGATCCACTGTTTTTTACCAGTGGGAAGGAGGAGGCGACATGGTACCTCCCACTGCCTATTGTAACCCCTAAAAGCCTACGCTGCAACTATGTGCATTGCATACAGTTTCAGGGCGGTTATGGTGCGGCCCCATTTACTTGAATGGGTCGTGTTTGGCAGGTGGTACTGCCCACCTAATGCAATAGAAGGGATCCTTTTGCCATGCCACTATGCAAATCATCTTGGCCACAGCATGTGTACACCCCTGTACAGCCTTTGCAGTTTTTGGGGGGGCAGTAAAGATGAGCTCCAACTGCAAGTGTAAACTAAGGCCCCTTTCACATGGGTGATCCAATCAGGTCTACCTGTCAATTTTTCAGGCGGACCTGATCGGAAGGTCCATGCATTCCTACGGACAGGTGGGTGTAAACAGACTTGTGTCCGTTTACACCCATCTACCTCCGGTCTGATGCAGTCTGCTTAAAAAAAGAAAAAAGGAAGGGGTTCAGCCTCTTCTGTTTAGATGGATCAAATCAGGGGTTAGTTGGGTATAAACAGATAGTGGAGTCTGTTTACTCCCGGTCACCCATAGAGCAAAGCGGGTGTTTTCTGTATCCACTCTACATAAACTGAGCAGACATGGATGTGCCATCTGCCCTCTCCACTCTGATCAGCAGGTGATCTGTGAAAGGATCCTCTGCTCATCAGAAAGGAGTCCATCCCATGTGAAAGGGGCCTAAGCCTTACCCTTTCAATGGTTATTTTTGGACTTTTTGATTCTCTTTAGGGATGTTTGTGAATCTGCTGTGTCACACATGCCATAGGCAAAGTAAAAACAGAGATGCCTAAAGCAAGCAGCATATGTAGAATCTCCAACTTACTTTTTTCCTTATTTTTCTTTTTAGTCTTTTCCATACACCCCAGATCTGGTACGGTATTTATATTCAGCAGCCACTCAATTGTCTCATTATGCTCCTGTGATTTGTTTGGTGCTGTCACTGTATTATGCTGACTCTTCATGTGAACTCTGCCTGTACATTTTGTGTTTCATCTCTGAGTGAGTGGAAAATGTTTTTCATGTTACATTGAAGCACATTATTTCTCACTGAATAGAACAGAATTCAGCTGTAGAACAAATAATAAGTGGGACTTTAGCTTCAGGAAGAAGCAGCGGAGCTTTTTATGTGAAAAATGCCCTCTAATGCGCTATGTGCCTGGAGTGATGTAACTCAATACTAAAGTACAATGGGATGCTCCTGTACTGCACAGAGACCTCCTTATCGATCGCTGATATAACGGTCCCGTTGTATAGGATGATGTAATCCTCTTCAAGTTACTAAGGAAAGTGACCTTGAGGGAGATCGAATGGCTGAGCCACAGAGGTGGATGCATTCTAACTAAGTTACCTTGTTTCATGCTAAATTGGCTATATCCTTACACCCACATTGCAGAAACAGATTATAGAAGCAATCATGCCTAACGCAATAATAGGGGCTATCTATTAGTGAAACATGAGATTGTACATGAAAGCATCTAAGAGCTGCGTTATGCTGCAACATAGCATTAAGCAGCAATTCACACTCGGCCAGACAGATGCCTTTTTCTTACAATGAATGGTCATTTCATTTTTAGATCCATCAAATTTTGTTCTTAAAACCTCTTATTTTAGAAAATTAAGCTAGTAAAGAGCATGGTGTTCAAATGACTGCTTCCCTTGTCAAAACCTAGCTGAATCTGGTACATACAGTACCTCTGGATATTAGTATGTATAGAACAGCAATAAGCCACATTCACAAATTTAAGATTAGTGGATGATTTTACTGATTTATAATACATTAAGTACACTACTTGAAGTGCGCAGACTTTTACCTTTAGGAAAAAATCAACCACTATGTGTGCATAGACACCAAGGTTAACATACAGATTACTTTCTTAATTTGCCTGTGGAGTAGAGGAGAGAGTTGGTATTGATACAGCACTTTTGGAGGAGCAACCGGTTACCATTAGTAACATTGCATACTGGGATAGTCCCAAAAGCGCAAACAACCACCCTAGAGATAGGTGGTCATGGGATGACAGTGAGTGTTAGTCCATGTGGGGCACCAGTCTGGGCTCAGTGGAGCACCTGTGTATTGTACAGGGAGTTCACAATCAAGATTTACAGCACCTTGCACCTTATTTTCATTTACTGGGACTGAATAATTATTATTATTAATACTGTTTTTTACTCATTGCTACAGAGTTTCTCATAATTATTTATTTTGCACTATTTATGCGTGGTCCATATGCTATTAACTTAAGTACACTACTTATTAACATTCTGTCTGATATTGTCTTGTCATTCGTTTTTCAAATTTATTAAATATTACGTCACCCATGGTGTTTATTCAGTAAATTAAAATGTAAATGAAAGTGCGATAAGGCGTAATTACTGATCATTGTCCTAACTGACTTTGAAGACCTGAAATATCATTTCATCAGGTCACTACACATCACAGCTAAATCTCCATACATGCATGTAATAAAATTCCAAAATCTGTTATTATAATGGATTCCCATTACTCCTGTTATATTGCAAGCCTTTTAGGTTTAATTAGCTGTTGGTAAAAGTAGCAGAAACACTAGGGTTACTTTAAAGCTGGCAATACACTAGTAGACTTTCAAACAAACATTCTAAATGTAACACCCTCCTAGATAGCAAGGGGGAGCTAATGTTCAATTGTTAGTCAGAGGCTGAGTAGCAGCCTGTGGTGCTAGTCAGAGGAAGGTCAAATGCAGGTCAGAGCTGAGAGGTTCTGCAGGCCAGTTCCCTTATACCTCCCTCTGCTCTAGAATATTGGAGAAGAAGATTCTAGAAGCAGTGAGCGGGGGTGAGGAGAGGCTGACCTGCACACTTGGAGGACTGTAGCCAATTCCAAAGCAGGAGGCTTAGCAAGGGGCCAGGGCAGCCTTCAGCTGCGACAGAGCCTGCTTAGCAGGAGGAGAGTTCAGGTGGAAGATGAACTGAGAGACTGGAGAGCAGGAGCTTGGGAGGGGGCGCAGATGGGAAGGGGCTCACCTACAGGCAGAGGAGCTGGAATGGAGGAAAGCTCAGGACCTCATCAGCCCCCAGAGCGAGGACCATCTGTACAGCAGGGAAGGAGAGGCCTAGCAAAAGGCCAGAGAGCAGCCACCAACCCATGAGCTCACAAACAGAGGACTGAGTGAGTAGAACTACACACCCCTGGGCCAGCAAGGGGAAGGAGCACTCTAGTGGGAAACTGGATTAGCTGGCTACTTGGGATTGTCTTCTATTTAAAGTGACAAGCACTGGGTCCCCT